CGAGCAAGCTACAAAGTGGCACATCTTTGTTAGTAGGTCTACCACCACCATGATGGCTGTTTTCCCTTTGGACTTCGGCAGATCAGTCATAAAATCTATCGACACTGCCTCCCAAGGTCGTTCTGGGGTTGGTAAGGGTTCTAATAGCCCCGCCGGCGCCCGCCTTTCCCCTTTGGCTCGCTGGCATTGCTCGCACCCTCTTACATACTCACGTACATCTTCCCTCACCTTAGGCCACCAAAATTCCCTGGTGACCAACCACATGGTTTTGTGTTGTCCAAAATGCCCCGCCGTAGGGCTGTCGTGCAACTGCTTGAGTACCCTCCCCTTAACTCTCCTTCAGGGATATACAGTGCCCCTTTGTAATACAAAGCTCCATTTCTTTCCTCGAAACCCCTGGTTCCTCTCCATCACCCCTAAGACCTCTGAGCTTATTCTGGGCGTATTCATCATTCTCTGTTTCCTCTACCAGTTCTCTTTGTCCCACCAATGCCGCCCCACACACCCAGCGGTCCTCTGGAATGACATGTCTCTCTTCGGGTGCCCCCTCCCTCCAAATATTCAGGTTTGCGTGAGAGAGCGTCCGCCCTAATGTTCTCTGGGCCTGGCACGTAACTAATCTCAAAGTTAAATTTGGAGAACTCCTGGGCCCATCTCACTTGCCGTTGGTTGAGCACTCGTGCCGTCCTCCAATACTCTAGGTTCTTGTGGTCAGTGCACACTTGCACCTTATGTTGTGCGCCAATTAGCAGGTGCCTCCATCTCCGGAACGCCTCATGAATGGCTAGTAGTTCTCGGTCATACACCGTGTAGTTCCTCTCGGATTTGTTCAGCTTTCGCGAAAACAAGGCACACGGTCTCCACTCTGACCCCTTCTTGCCTGGCTGCAGAAGCACCGCCCCAATCGCTCTGTCTGATGCGTCAGTTTCCACTCTCATCGGTTTTTGTAAATCCACATGCAGGAGTTGTTGTTCCGAGGCGAAGGCCCTTTTAGTTCCTCAAATGCTCGCTCCGCCTCCTCAGTCCACACGAACTTCTTCTTACTGCTGAGACAGTCCGTAATGGGCGCCGTCAGGTGGGCAAAGTTTCGGATGAACTTACGATAGAAGTTCCCAAATCCTAGGAACCTCTGCACATCCTTCTTTGTTTTGGGTGTTTTCCATTCCAGCACCGCCTGGACCTTGCCGGGATCCATGGCCAATCCCTTGTCTGACAGGCGATACCCCAGGAATTCCACCTCCTTGGTATGAAACTGACACTTCTCCAGTTTCACCCACAGCAGGCTGGCTTGCAGCCTGCTCAACACTTCTCTGACGTCTCTCACATGCTGCTCCTCATTCTCAGAATACACCAACACGTCGTCTAAAAAGGCCACACAATTCTTGTAAAGCAAAGGCCCCAGGACGTGGTTCATAAACGATTGAAATGTTGCGGAGCCTGCTTGTAGGCCGAAGGGCATAACCAAATATTCAAATGCCCCTAAAGGGGTGAACATAGTGGTTTTCCATTCATCCCCCTTCCTTATTCGTACCAGGTTGTACGCCCCCCTTAGGTCCAGCTTTGTGAAAATCTTTCCCTTCCGCACCCTTGTCAAAATGTCGTCAATCCTGGGCATAGGGAAGGCTACTGGTTCTGACACTGCATTTAAGGCCCTGAAGTCACACACCAGCCTCGGCTTGTTCGTGTTTTTCTTATCCACAAAAACACTGGGCTGCCCCCACCGCCCTGGACTCTCTGATGAACCCTCTCTTCAGGTTCTTGTCAATGAACTCTCTTAACTCCTGCATCTCTCTGTCTGACATGGCGTACAGCTTGCCTACAGGGAGCTGTGCTCCAGGGAGTAAGTTGATTTGACAGTCAAAGGGTCTATGCGGGGTAGTTGGTCAGCTTCCCTTCGCTGAAGACGTCACGGAGATCTGCATATTGTCGTGGTACCTTCACGTTCTCTGTTACTTCAGTCCCTGCTAGGGTGGCTTGGACCCCTGCCAAACCCTTTCCCTCTTTGCAGTGTTCTAAGCAATGTGCTGAACCAAAAGAAACCACTCTCTGATGCCAGCCCACCAGCGGATCATGTAACGCTAGCCAGCTCATCCCCAATATAATGGGAGCTCCTCCCAAGGTGGCCACATTAAAAGCTATCAGTTCGGTGTGCCTTGCTACCTTCATTATCATTGGGACGGTCTGCAAGCTGACTTCTCCACCCAACAGCTCCCTGCCATCGATCGTGGTCACCTGCAGGGGGCTGCTTAAAGGGATTGTCTGTATCTGGTGTTCAGCTGCAAACTCTTTGCTCATGAAATTGCAGGAGCTGCCTGAGTCCAACAGCGCCTTTATCTTTAGAGGGTGTCCGTTTGGCAGCTCTAGCGTCACTTCTATCACTAGGGCGGGTTTAGGAGGTTCTGGCGTGGGCACTCTCACTGCTCTTTGGCCTGGCTGCTGTGCCCTGACAGTGGCAGCCAGGCGTTGGCTTGACTGGCTCCGGTAATCTGTCCTCTCTTCCATCCACAGCTCCTACCATCCCTTGCCATTCTTTCCTCTGGGGGCAGACTCTGGCAAAGTGACCTGGCTGTTGGCAGAGATAGCATTTCCGTGCGCCTTTTCCCTCCTTCTTTGCCCCCTCACTGGGCTTTGAAACTGCGCGCGCGCGCGCTGTTCCGATTTCCATCGGCTCTGCCGGTGGGAAAGTTGGCTCTGGAATGTCTGGAATGCGGAACTCCTTCCAACGTTCCCCTTTCCCTTCCCGCCTCTCCAATGCTCTCGCCTCCTGGCGCGCTCCTATGGCCAGCGCTGATTTGGTCAGCTGGTCCATAGACTCCGCCCTGGGCGCCCGGGAAAGTTCGTCTTTCACAGCCGAAGAAAGCCCTTCTTCAAAGAGCATTTGAATGGGTTCCGCCGATAAGTCCCACCCCAATCTGTGAACAAGCATGGTGAACTCAGTCCAGTACTCACGGACAGATCGGCTCCCCTGTTTGCAACCCATTAACTGTCTGCGCACCACTCCCTTTTCAATATCGCTGGAAAACATCAGATCCATGGCGCGAAAGAACTTCATCGTGTCCTTTAAGACGTCACTATTCGCTGCCATCAGGGGTCTAACCCAGTCTCTCGCCCCTTTTCAAGATGCTCAATCACGAAAGCCACTCGTGATTCCTCGTCAGGGAATTCATCAAACTGCAGATTGAGGGCATATTGCATTTCTGTCCGAAAACCATGATAGTTTTGGGCTCCCCCAAACTTCTGCACCAATCCTGGTACCTTTCTGGCGAACTGGGTGGCTTTCCCTTTTGTCTGCATCCTGAGCCCTCCTCTCCTCAAGCCTCGCCGTCTGCATCGCTAGCTGGACCTCCAACATCTGGTACCTTTCTTCCAGGCTTGGACCCGCTCCAGCTCCTGCTTCTCCGGTTCCGGCTGGGTTGCTCATGATGCCTTCTCCTGCACAAGCTGCTATCAAAGACTGTCGGAATGCTGTGATGGGATGATGAGCTGCTTGTGCGTAAAATCGTATCCCCTCAGAGTTTGTTCAAGTCCACAAACCTCTGTCTGTGACGGAGCCCCTCAGACATGGCTACTCTAGTCACTAGCAGATTCCGACAGTGGTTGCTTTCGTAATCGCTTCCAACATAAAAGCTCCTTAACGGAAACACGTCTTCTGGAATCTCTGCGTGACAGTTTCCGGCGAGGAGTGGGTGTTCTTACAGGAGGTCCTGAAACCTCCCCACTGTTTTCGCTGGAAGTGTCTCTGAGCCATCCCTCCAGCTCAGCTCCTCTCCCCCTGCTGGTTCCCTCTTCAGCTGCTGCGTCTCTCCCAACCTGTGTGAGCCCTTTCACCTCCCTGCTGGTTCCCTCTTCAGCTGCTGCGTCTCTCCCAACCTGTGTGAGCCCTTTCACCTCCCTGCTGGTTCCCTCTTCAGCTGCTGCGTCTCTCCCAACCTGTGTGAGCCCTTTCACCTCCCTTCCGTCCGATGGCAGTTCCCTGACAATATTGAAACATTAAAATATTAAAATGTAGCCTCATCGCAGGAGGAAAAAGGAAAAGAAAAAAGAAAGAGGGGAGGGAATCAAATTGGCTCCAAGCCAAAGGCCAGGTGGAACAACTCAGTCTTACAGGCCCTGCGGAAAGAAATCAGATCCTGCAGGGCCCTGGTCTTATGAGGCAGAGCGTTCCACCAGGCCGGAGCCAGTGTTGAAAAGGCCCTGGTTCTGGCTGAGGCTAATCTGACTTCCTTAGGGCCCGGGACCTCTAGGGTTTTGCTATTTATGGACCTTAAGGTCCTACGCGGGGCATACCGGGAGAGGCGGTCCCGTAGGTACGAGGGTCCTAGGCATGCATCAAATCATAAGTGAAGATGACAAAGTCAAGACTGAGGAATAGCCAAGGATACAGGAATAGGCCAGAGCTCAGGAAGAGCAGCTTCCTCAGACAAGGTTTGAATGGAAGAAGCTTCCATCTGGCTGGCCACTGTGAGAACAGGAAACTGGACGAGATGCTCCTGTTTTATGGTTGTGGGTGTTCGAAGACATTTTCTGTTTACTGTTGCATTCCACCCTAAGCTCGAATGGTATCAGGTATTAAAAATATTTTAATTAATAAGCAAATAGCTGTGAGACAATGAAGGGAGCTAGACAGGACTGATGGGAAAATAAGTCAAAGGCTGCAAAGGGCAAATGCATTACTCTGAGTTCCAAGCAAAGTCCAAGGACTTAACAATTCAAAACCCATTTATAGGATCCATATAAACACATTTTCCTATTCCTTGACCTTCATTATGGCCAAAGATCCTCTCCAATGATAAATGACAGTCGCTGCTGCCTTTCCTTCTAAGTCAACAAACAATTGATGGATGAGGCAGTGATGTCAGATCGATCCATCAGGCCATTCCTATTTTTAAACACATTCTAGCAAAAATGGATGACCAAACTTTTCAAGATCACCTGTGAGTACTCCCCTTGCTCTTTGCAAGCACCGTCTGACATGATCCCTGGATCCTAAACCACTTGGCTTAGTTAGGTCCTCCAAGCAGAAGTTTCCTAAGTGGAAGAGGAAAAACTCAGTATTAGGCCCAGCTAGTCATACCAGCATTTTTGCTTTTGTTGATACAAATGCTGGCCAAATGGCTGAATTTGCAACAAACAGGTTGTTCAGTCCAAAACAAGGATATGTTCAACCAGAATATTTATCAGGTGATGACTATAACTTCAAGTGATGACTGCTACTTTACTTTTCTGTGCTGATATCCTGCCTTTCCTTAAGTCAATTTACAACCCCCCTCAATAAATTAAGTTACAGGTTCATATAAACACTTGAACCATCAAGCGCTTATTAAAATGTAGCATTACACAATATGCAACAATAACTCGTTTAGGAGAACAGAACAATAAACAGAAGTTCATCTAATTCCAAACGCTTTAGTATTCATGGCTTTGATTGTAGAACTGATTTTAATACCACATTTGTTTTTTGTTTGAACTGTGAAGTGCATTGGAAGCTTTGATAGAGCAGAGCAATGGTCTATAAATTTTAAATAAACAAACATCAGAAATGCATATGTTGAAGCTGAATACCTCTCAGCTAAAATTGCCTTTGCACTGATTCTGCCCCAAACCTGCAAGGTCAGACACAGGCAGCCTTTGCATGACCTGTGAGAGTAAAGGGAACTTAGATAAAATCATGCAGGTTGTCTCTGCATACCTGTTAGTCACCCATGACTATGTGCAGCCATCAGGAAGGTACAAGAATACTTGAGAAGAACCTTCTGGATCAGACCAGAGAGCCATCTTGTCCAACATACAGTCATACCTTGGTTCTCAAACGGCTTAGTTGACAAACAAATTGGCTCCCGAACACCCACAACCCAGAAGGAAGTGGTCTGGTGTCCGAATGTGGTTTGGAAGCCGAATGTCCGACATGGCTTCCGCTGAGTGCAGGAGGCTCCTGCAGCCAATCGGAAGCCACACCTTGGTTTTCAAATGGTTTCGGGAGTCGAACGGACTTCTGGAACATATTAAGTTTGAGAACCAAGACACCACTGTATCGCTTACCACAATGGCCAAATGTTCTCAGAAACATCTGAGAACCTCTCAAATGAGACATAGTGGCATAGCACGCTCTACTTCTCCCCAATAGCCAACCATTCAGTGTCAATACTGCCTCTGAATCTGAATCATTTAGTCATTGTGACTAAGAGCTAGTGATAGATATATCCTCTAGCAATCTAAGTTCCTTTTAAAGTCAACTGGAACACAGGGAATCATAGAATCATAGAATCATAGAGTTGGAAGAGACCACAAGGGCCATCAAGTCCAACCCCCTGCCAAGCAGGAAACACCATCAGAGCACTCCTGACATATGGTTGTCAAGCCTCTGCTTAAAGACCTCCAAAGAAGGAGACTCCACCACACTCCTTGGCAGCAAATTCCACTGTCGAACAGCTCTTACTGTCAGGAAGTTCTTCCTAATGTTTAGGTGGAATCTTCTTTCTTGTAGTTTGGATCCATTGCTCCGTGTCCGCTTCTCTGGAGCAGCAGAAAACAACCTTTCTCCCTCCTCTATGTGACATCCTTTTATATATTTGAACATGGCTATCATATCACCCCTTAACCTCCTCTTCTCCAGGCTAAACATGCCCAGCTCCCTTAGCCGTTCCTCATAAAGCATTGTTTCCAGGCCTTTGACCATTTTGGTTGCCCTCCTCTGGACACGTTCCAGTTTGTCAGTGTCCTTCTTGAACTGTGGTGCCCAGAACTGGACACAGTACTCCAGGTGAGGTCTGACCAGAGCAGAATACAGTGGAACTATTACTTCCCTTGATCTAGATGCTATACTTCTATTGATGCAGCCCAGAATTGCATTGGCTTTTTTAGCTGCCGCGTCACACTGTTGGCTCATGTCAAGTTTGTGGTCAACCAAGACTCCTAGATCCTTTCCACATGTACTGCTCTCAAGCCAGGTGTCCCCATCTTGTATTTGTGCCTCTCATTTTTTTGCCCAAGTGCAATACTTTACATTTCTCCCTGTTAAAATTCATCTTGTTTGTTTTGGCCCAGTTCTCTAATCTATCAAGGTCGTTTTGAAGTGTGATCCTGTCCTCTGGGGTGTTAGCCACCCCTCCCAGTTTGGTGTCATCTGCAAATTTGATCAGGATGCCCTTGAGTCCATCATAGGGACATAGGAAGCTGTCTTCTACCGAGTCAAGCCATTGGTGCATCTATGTTGCTCTCCAGGGTTTCAGGCAGGGAATCTTCCCCAGCCCTACGAGGACATGGTGGGGGTGAACCTGGGACCTTCTGTACACAAAGAAGATGCTCTACCACTAAGCTATGGCCTCTTCCCCATGCAAACTACAGGGCTCCCATCTCATGATTCAGCAGCACATTTGAAGCTAATGGGAGGAGGGAAATCTTTTAGTTGCCAGATGGAAACCCTGTCAGTGTTGGTTAAAAACCCTAGGACCCAAGTGGTCTGCTAGTTTAGGAGAAGGCATGATTCTGTGGCTGGGTGCATGTTCTGCATGCAGAAGGCCATAGGTTTCACCTGTGGCATCTCCCATTAAAATGATCTAAGATAGCAGGTAACAAGGAAGTTCTGGGTGCAAATCATAAGCTTGTTCACTGAGGAATAAGGACCAAATCCTTGGGGCCCAGCTCTTTTGGGAGGGAGGGGGCAGGCCCCACCAATGGTCAAAACAGGGACATTAGGTAATATGTTATAGTTAAGTCTAGAAGGAATAAAAAATGAACAGCTGATGGGAAATGAAGATGAAGAAAATCAAACAAATCAAAGATAAAATGCTAAAATATTTTAAGTTTTTGAAATGTCATTTGAAAAAGTATGTAATATTGAGCAGCTAATAAGGGTGGAAATCGAAACATCAAGATGGCGGGGTGGAAGTCGTTTTTAAATTTGCATTCAGTTTGAATTAATGTGATGTTAAATTGGTTAACGTTTTTGAAAAGCAATGAAAATTAATTGGCAAAAAGCAAAATAAAATCAGGGGGCAGAGAAGGGCAAGCATGGAGTTGAGAGCAGCATGGCTTCAGCGGCCAACAGCTCCTCCTCCTCCTCCTGCCGTGTAAGGAAAAGACAAGGGAAGTGGCCCCTGGCCAGTGGTGACAGCAGCAGGAGAAGGAAGAGGCCAAGTGCCAGAGAGGAGCCACACTGGATAGCTCAGTTGGTTAGAGCATGGTGCTGATAACACCAAGGCTGCAGGTTCAATCCCTTTTTGGGACAGCTACATATTCTCTTGGTATGTCCCACAGAGGACCTTGAGGTCCATGAATAACCATCGTTTAGAGGTCCCAGCCCCTAAGGAAGTCAGACTATCCTCCACCAGGGCCAGGGCCTTTTCAGTGATGGCTCCGACCTGGTGGAATGCTCTGTCCCATGAGACCAGGGCCCTTCAGGGTTTAACCACCTTCCGTCAGGCCTGTAAGACAGAGCTATTCCACCTGGCCTTTAATTTGAATTCAGCCTTATCTTTTATTTCCCTTCTCTTCCCTCCCCCTCCCCTTTTATGATGATCACCCGCTCTGAGACCCCACAGCTAATTCTTCCCTGGCCTCCTCGCTGGCCCAAGTAGGGCCAATTCAGCCAGCTAGCCCTGGGGATTATCTGATTGATTTTTGAATTTTATTGTTATTCATGTTTTTATACTATATTTTATGCTGCTTTTATAATTAAGTGTTTTAAATTTGTTGTTAGCCGCCCTGAGCCTGGTTTTTGAACCAGGAAGGGCGGGATATAAATAAAAAATTATTATTATTATTTTATTACTATATTCCTGCATTGCAGGGAGTTGGACCAGGTGATCCTCAGGGTCCCTTCCAACTCTACAGTTCTATGATTGTCAACATCCTGATGCTGTGCACAACATTACACATGTCATTAGCACCCCTCCCCACAATCTCCCTTGCAAGCTGGTACCTCTGCACTGTGGTCAGGCCCTTCCCCAATCTTTGCTAGTTTTCATCCATGCATCAGATAGCCGTGGACTTTATTGGTTCCCTGGGTCACCTGACCATGCACTTAATTGGCAGCCACATGACTTCTAATGCTGTCTAAGTAGAATCTGTGAGTAACACAGCCCAACCTGGAGTTCCATCAGTAGATTTGTGGCATTTGAGATTTCAGAGGTAAACACCACCAGGATCATGTTTCCTGAAGCACAGGAGTGGGGAGACCTGAGGCCCATCAGATGTTGTCAGACTATGGCTCCCATCAGCCTTGACCACTGGCCATGCTGGGAGCTGGAGCTGATGGGAATAGAAACCCATCAATGTCTGCGGGGCCACAGGTCCCATATCCCCTGCCACAGCACGTCAGTCTGTAAGCCTTCACACACGGCAATAAAAAAGGTTTCACATTGCTTCTCACTCATTAGGCCTCTCCCGCCACACACTCCAGGGGCACGTAAAAAGTAACCTCAAGCAAGTCGAACATGACTTTAAAGAAGAAAGAGAATTTGTGCACAGTAAAAATGCTGGCTGTTTGTGCCAAACTCTGAGATTAACAACCGAGGAGACTGGAAACCTCTCTTTATTGGTTGTACAAGTTCAGCCCAAACAACAAACACAACATTCCCAGAGGCTTTGTCTCAGTCTCATTCTGCCAGGAAACACCTCAAAGAACTTCTGCTGCAGAGGCCCAGCTCTGGCTGCCAACAGGGAAGCAACTTTTTATAAGCATGAGTAACATTTTATTATCACTACCCAGGGCGCAGAACCTCAGAGGGGTGCAATACTGTCTTTTGAGGGGCAGTGTTTCATACAGATTATTTTTTTGTTAAAACTTATAAATTTCTGATATTTCACTTTTAATATTGTTGTGAGTTTGGGGGCTGGGCTGGGTTTTATGATGCCCGAATCCCTTCTAATCCCTTGGATCCAGTAAGGGTTAAAATCTTATGGAGGATTCAATTCTTAAAGTAGCCACACCAGCATCTTGGTAATGGGCCTAAGTATAGTCATTAGTGGGACGCGGGTGGCGCTGTGGGTTAAACCACAGAGCCTAGGACTTGCTGATCAGGTGGTCGGCGGTTCGAATCCCGACGATGGGGTGAGCTACCGTTGCTCGGTCCCTGCTCCTGCCCACCTAGCAGTTCGAAAGCACGTCAAAGTGCAAGTAGATAAATAGGTACCACTCCGGTGGGAAGGGAAATGGCGTTTCCGTGCACTGCTCAGGTTTGCCAGAAGCAGCTTAGTCATGCTGGCCACATGACCCGGAAGCTGTACGCCGGCTCCCATGGCCAGTAAAGCGAGATGAGCGCCGCAACCCAAGAGTCGGCCATGACTGGACCTAATGGTCAGGGTTCCCTTTACCTTTACCTTTACAACTTCACTGGCATCCCTCAGTATTGTGAACAACACCGAACTTACCTTTTGTTGGTATCTTCATGAACTTACCAAAAAAGATAAAGAAAACAAAAGACTGAGTTCAGCATTTGAAAAATCTATTGAAACCAGACATCATAAGTTCATCTTAGGCTGGGTAGTTCGCAAGTTTCTGTGGCTTTGCACAAGGTTTTGTATTTTTCTCAGAAGATTGATAAAGAATATATAATTATTTTGGTAATTATTGTGTGTATATTAGTGGCCAACGTGTTGCATGAGTGGTACTACTATAAATTCTGCAATCGAGCAGCAACTCTGGAGCCTGTTTGTGTCTCTGCGGTGCAGAGAAATGGGTTCTCCTCCGTCAATCATTTTGTGGCATGATTCTCTAGCTGAGATGGTGGAGGACAATAATCTTAACAATTCTGTGTGAAGTATAATTAGTGGGTCCTCTTGGGATTTCTTAAGCTACACTCATCTATTCCATACATTCATTTGCTCGCTGTCTTTCAGCTACGTCATCTCAAAACTGATTTCTCCTTTCTTCCCAGAGAATAAAGCAGTTGCAAAGGAAATTTGAATTCCCCATACAATTTAAGAAAAACAATAACAGAACAACAACAACAAAATCCCAGGGAGATTATTTGAAGTCTGAAGAGCTAACTGGCATTCTAGGAAGCAGATTTGCCACCCCCCACATCGCCCCAACAATTTTATCTGCCCCTGTAGATGTATTTGCGGAAGATGGCATCCAGATAATAGCGATGAGCCTGGTGCTTGCAATCTTCTCCACAAAAAAACACTTTGAGACTTTATTAGTGAAATGATCCAGTGAGAAAGGAGAATGTAAAGTGCTAACCTGGCAATTATATTTTAAAGAAACCAACAGGTACACACCGGATAATTATAAGCTATCATCTATAAAGTTACAAGTGTCTAGCAGCAAAGAGATTGGGGCATAAAAGGAGAATGTCAGATCAGAATGTTCTTTTGCTAATTTCTGACAAAAACATAATGGCTTTAGCAAGCGTGATATTTCTAGAACTTCATTGTAACCATTAATATCTTGCGAGATCTATCTTTCCTTAATGTCAAGCTATTATTTTTTTTTAGGGGTGCCATTTACATTTTAAAGGGGACCTACCTACACAGTTCTGTTCAGGGCACACATACGTATACGTGTGTGTGTGTGTGTGTAGTTACTCTCTGCTCTTTACAGCAACAACTTCAAAGAGCTGCCACCTATCAGTGTTGACAACACTGATAGGTGGACGATGGGTTTGATTTTGCATAAGGCAGCTTTTGATAACCCCATGTTTCTGTGAATTTGCCAAAATGGTCCTCCTAGTGCTGTTGCTTCGATATGACGCACCCACTAATGGGAGAGGTAGTGATACCGGCTAGCTCCCTCTCCCTCCTCAGTGCTCCCCAGGAGTCAGTTCCAAAAGCTTAGGGGACCTCCAAGAACTAATTTTCAGGGAATCAGCAAAAACGGCCTCCTCAATTAGTGGACACCATCCATGGGACCAAGAACACAAGTCTAAGGAGACAACTCAATGAGATGGACACAGCTGAGCATGTCACCTACTCAGTGCTTTTTTTCTTGAAATAAATGTTATGGGTCAAATGTTATTTTCATTTTGGCTCAAGAAAATCACGTTTTTATAGTTCAAATTGGGGAAAATAAATACAGTAAATGGACAAAAGTACAAAGATTCACAAAATGTTTAGCGGTATGCGTACACCTGCATCCTCCTAGGAAAAAAAGCATTGCACCTACTCATAACTATCAGCATTTGCCAGCGCAGCATTCAAAAAGTAGGAGGTTTTGCTGGTTTCCAGGCATTCACAAACCCAACTGGGATTGCCAATATTTACCTGTGGATATCAACACCACACACTCAAATGTCACAAATTCGTAAAAGAATTAAACCCTCCTCCTGAAGAATAACAGAAACACCTACACACACATTTTTGGACATTCCCCCTAAACTGAAATATGTACCATTTAGTTTTGGCTCGGCTCCTGAAACGTTGCGCCTATAGAGGTGTGCTGTATAAAAGCAATACAATACATAGGTGAAGAAGAACGGCTCTGCATGGACAGCTTCTTCTGTTCCTCGGTGAGTGAAAGTATAATAGTCTTCTGAGGGGAAAAAATCCTGGACAGAAATCTGTAGAGCGTTGACTTGTAGATGAAGGAACTTTGTGGCCTTTGCGAAATTATATTCAAAGCAGAACAACGAGGGGGCTTCACCTACACTAATCTCCATGGTTCCTCCAAACAAGATCTTGTCTTGAATCATAGTAATGAGTTTTTCTGAACAATATTGGAGTGGAGATTCTTATATAATGTATATCTCGGGGAATCTGGGTATACACAGGTAATGAATGTAATATAATTTTAATGAGAATTTCATTTTATGGTTCGGGATACGCAAAGACATAACTTCTCATAATGTAATTACCTTTGATTAATCAGTGGGAATTATTAACTTCACACAAAAGCTTGGCTTCCTCCTTCTTTCTTCCCTTCCCCCACCCTCCTCCTCGAATATGTAATGAAATCGCTCTTATTAGTTTGAGAATAGTAGGTGACAGAGAGAATGGAAGCATTAACGAATATATATTTTAAGGCTGTTCACTGGATTTATCTGAGGGCCAAAACAAAGTGGACATAATCAGAGGGTCTCTGATGTGCTAGCACAAAATGTGGCTGTCAGGGGGTTGGACATTAGGCAGGAAGGACAGCCAGCCAGGGTGAAAAACCATTCAAAAAATCCCCAGGGTGGATGAACCTGAGGCTCCCTGGATCATTTTAGTTTGCCCTTTCCCAACCATATTCCAACTGAGTGACAGCCTTTGGTTTAACTGTACTCTGTAAATGTGGCTGCACCATATGTTTCGATTAAGAAATTCGGCGCATCTCGGTGGAGCAATTCAGGTCCTACCAAATAACTATATACAGTCCTTTGCCCCAGCGGCGTAGTGTGGGTTGTCAGCACCCGGGGCAAGGCAAGTAATTTGCGCCCCCTAACCTGCCGCCGCTGCCAGCTTCTTCTTGCTGCTGCCTGGTCTGGTCTGGTGTGGTTCTCTCCCGCGCTCAGCGCTGCGCTGGGCGGCCGCTGCACTGTCCCTCCCCCAGATAGTCCCTCGCTCTCTCTCCGCACCGCACGCCTGGCACCCCCCCCCGCCACCGTGGGCGGCGACCCAGCGGCTCAGATCGGATTCGCACAGCCAGCACTGCAGTGCGAGAGAGTGAGTGAGCCAGGTAGGGGCAGAGAGCTGCGAGTGCGAGCGCACCCCCCCCAGATGTTGCGCCCGGTGCGGCCGGCCCCCCCTGCACCCCCACGCTACGCCACTGCTTTGCCCAACACACAGCAGGTTCCTTCTTGCTTGTAACTGGAGATACATCTGCAGAAATCTGTTTTTAATATCTGGATGCAGATGCTTTTTGTTTTTCTAAAGTAATCTGCATTCAACTTCAGGGAAATATTTGTTCTCGTACTGATGCAGCGAGCACAGAATTTCAGCCCAGCAAGACATAATTTTCTGTTTCCACCATTCTGTGGTTTTTGATTTTTTAATGGAAATGCCAATTGTTGCTTTAATTATGAGTACAGTACGAGAACAAGAGTTAACAATACCTGCAATATCAAACAAAAGCAAAAGAAACACACACGGTGTAATGAAAGCTATTTCATGTTTTCAGAATAAATGGGATTATTTATCTCATCACTCACTTGGTTTGGATTGCATCCAAACTAGTAATTAGAAATGAAGGAAGGAAATAAAAACCTAAATCACCTTAGGACCCCATCAATCATTGGATTTAGATTCTCACACAATTAAGCCCAAGCTAGATATGCAGAAAGAATTTTAAAACCAGACTTGAAAATGCCGATTTTTCCACCCAAAAGCTACATATCCACCAACTCTTATTTTCACTGTGTTAGTTCTTCTCCCATGACTTCATAAGAAAGAGCCCTGCTAGATTGCGCCAAAGGCTCATCTAGTCTAGCAAGCCTATCTGAGGGGAACAGCACTTTCCCACCTGTGATTCCCAGAAACGGGAATTCAGAGACATACTTTCTCTGACACTTGAAATAGAATATAGCCTTATCATCCAGTTCTCTGTACACGTCTAATATATCCAATTTGCAAAACCCAAAAGAGTAGCATTGCAAATGCACAAACGCCATCTCCACCCTGTCCCTCAGCCCCATGGTCAACTAAGTCTGCACAATGGATGCATAAACATCTAACTGTAGCAGCTTCATTTTCCCCCAGCATTGGTCAGTGAAAACCTTTTGTACCTCATCCCACTTTCTTCCTTAATTAGTGCTCCACTTACTGGCTTCTTTGCAATGCAAGTCAACACATCATTAAATTATGAGTCTCCTGATGACTTGCAGGAGCAAATGTTGCAATGTGACCCTAACCCTCAGCTGTCTTCCCATTCATCCCCCCCCCCCCCCCAGAATCTTACCATGTTCCTTTCATCTGCCCAGATTAATAGACACATCTTGATTATTCCTTTTGCAGTGTGGCAACCAGCCTACTGCTGGGAGTTGTCAGGACCTTGAGTTGGAACTGGGCAAGACCTCCTTATGAATTTGTTGTTGTTTAGTTGTTTAGTCGTGTCCGACTCTTCGTGACCCCATGGACCAGAGCACGCCAGGCACTCCTGTCTTCCACTGCCTCCCACAGTTTGGTCAAACTCATGCTGGTAGCTTTGAGAACACTATCCAACCATCTTGTCCTCTGTCGTCCCCTTCTCCTTGTGCCCTCCATCTTTCCCAACATCAGGGTCTTTTCCAGGGAATATTCTCTTCTCATGAGGTGGCCAAAGTATTGGAGCCTCAGCTTCAGGATCTGTCCTTCCAGTGAGCACTCAGGGCTGATTTCCTTCAGAATGGATAGGTTTGATCTTCTTGCAGTCCATGGGACTCTCAAGAGTCTCCTCCAGCACCATAATTCAAAAGCATCAATTCTTTGGTGATCAGCCTTCTTTATGGTCCAGCTCTCATTTCCTTATGAATAGGACTCCACTATGGGCCCCAGCACCAAACAGATCCAGGAGGAGATGGGGTACTCCAGGACATCACTTCAGCCAGAGAACCAGGAGAACTTATGTACCCAGCTGGATACATAATCTCTCTGTTCTGGAGCTCCAGAACCAACACTAGATATTGAAGGAGGAGGTGGCAATCAGCCTGAGCCAATACTCAGTCCCACCAGTGCACCCCTTGCCTGGCAGCACAAAGCATCCTATATCAGAATCCTAATAATTAGAGGAAGCACGGTCATATGAAGGATCAGGGTTCCTCTAATAAACCAGGAAGTGGAGGATGTCCAGATGAGCATTCAGTTTTTGTTGGGGAGCTACTGGTGTGACAGCCTTCATAAGCCTGCTGGTAGTCTAGTTACTGTACCTTCAGGAAAATTTCTCTCCTATTCTGTATGAGGCTTCCTGGCTGCTGACAGTGCTGGACAGCTCCTCTGACCTCCTTGCATGACTTGAATGGCCTATCACCCCACAGAGAAGTCAGGTTACTTTTACCATAGATTCATGGAGTTGGAAGGGACCCCGAGGATCATCTAGAGACTAGAGTCCAACCTCTCTGCAATGCAGGAATATGCAGCTGTCCCTCATGGACACCTGAGACCTTCGTGTTAGCAGCATCACATCATAACCAACTGAGCTATTATTTGTTAAATTTGTATGCAGTGGTACCTCGGGTTACATACGCTTCAGGTTACAGACTCCGCTAACCCAGAAATAGTGCTTCAGGTTAAGAACTTTGTTTTAGGGTAAGAACAGAAATTGTGCTCTAGCAGCGCGGCAGCAGCAGGAGGCCCCATTAGCTAAAGCGGTGCTTCAGGTTAAGAACAGTTTCAGGTTAAGAACAGACCTCCTGAATGAATTAAGTACTTAACCTGAGGTACCACTGTACTGCCCTTCATCCATAGTTAATTAAGTGTGTGTGTAGACATCATAGGGATTTGGCAATGTGCCATTTGTGGGCATCCTTGTAAGAACATGGGGGAAAAAACTTCCTAAATCAGGCCAATGGCTCATCTAGTCCAGTATCCTGTTCTCACAGTGACCAGCTAGATGCTTATTTTTATTTTATTATTACATTTTATTAAGAGAATTTCATTTATAAAAAGAGTAAGGAGGAATGAAAGAAGAAGAAGAAAGTGAGAAAGAAAAGAAAAAAATACTGTTACATGACCATGCATTGATATACAGATGTGTATATTATTCTAATACACATATAATTTTCACAGCATAAAAATATGAGATAAAAACAAAAGGCTGATCTATTGGGGCAAACATGGCACTGCCCCATCAACCTCAGTCAGCTTCCTCCTCCGTCTCACTATCACCCTTGTAGAACTGGGTGGAAGATGGGACAGAAACTGGACTTAGTTGGCACCACTTATCAATGGCGCTGGTTGACCTGCTCTTGGGCTTCCCATTTTCCACCCTGCCAGTTCCAAGGGGCACCAGGCAGTATTCGCTGCCCCAGCTGGCAGCCAAGATCTTAGGCAATGGCCATTTTCCAGCTTAGCCTTTCAGCTGGAGATTCCAGGAACTGAACTTGGGACCTTCTGCATGAAAGAGCAGGAGCTCTACCATTGAGCTATAGCTCCTTTCCCGACAGGAGGGAACTGCAGAAAGACTAGACGAATAAGCCCTGTTGCATTAAAAGGTCAGAGTTATTAATCATGCCCTTGTCGGTTTCTGAGAGTTATGAGGGGTGTGTGTGTGTGTGTGTGTGTGTGTGTGTGTCTTTACATGCATGTGTGTGCAGCAGCCTACAGATCCAGATTTAATTTCAACTTTGATTTTACAGTCTATGCAAAAAAATAATTTTAAAAATGGCCTTCATCCTACACAACGGGTTTCACCATGATTATTATCCATCACCCCGCCCCCATTCTTTCATCTTTAGGAAAAACCACTTAATTAATCAGCTATTTAAATAAATAAGATGTAGCAAGGCTGGGATACTGAATATTTCATTTGGAAAGTAGGTGCCGGAAGAAGCATGTTTAATTTAATCAGTATCAGGGTCAATGAGCATGTGTTAATGTTAAATAGAGATTAATTGCCAGGCCTTCCTTATATGCCACCAATACTTATTCGACTCTGCTGAACGCGCTATTGGCCAGCAGGTAATGAATGGCTTACTCGCATCATTATGCATGGTCTGCTTCAGCAAGTTCTTGCATGGGTCCAATATACAAGCATGGATGGATGGAGAACAGCAGGGGTGACGAACCTGTCACTCTCCAGGACTCCAGTTCCCATGATCCATATCCCTCCCATTTACCAGATGCAGGTGCTGAACATATGGACTGAGTAAGGGAGAGGGGAAATAGGGTTCTGCTGAGCCCAAATTTTAATCTGTGGAAACCATCTTGTTTGTGAGTCATGGAAGGCCTGCTCCCTGCTTTCCAGGCCTTTTTCTACCTGGCCTGGGAGGGTGGAGCCCTGACTGACTCCATCCAACAGCTGAGGCTGCTGAAGAGGCCAGAGACCATCTTGGCTGTGAGATCTGCTCTCTGCCTCGCAGGCGTTTTTCCACCTGGCCCGGACTCTCTCCAGCTACAAAAGCTGAGACTGCTGAACAGACCTTGGGTTGGGGAATTGTTTAGAGGGCATTGCTGGGTTCAGGCAGAGGCTGTTGCCATTATTAATATTAAGCTTTTTATCTTTAATGCAGATCTTATGTGGAAATTGTTTAATTTGGTTGTGTACTTTTGGCGTTTTATTTATTGTTCGTAACTACTTTTGTTATGTTTGCATTTTTTCATGCTGTAAGCTGCCTTGGGCATGGTTTGAATTATAGAAAGGTGGCATACACACACACACACACACACACACACACACACACACACTCACACACAAAGGGATCTGGATTTCTCTCAGATCCCTTTACACCATTTCTTTTAAAGAAAACTGCAAATGGCCAGAAGACCTAACATAATGACATTCAAATCTGTTCAGGTCAGGTTTTCAGCTGTTTCCTACAATACCTAAAGGGACGCGGGTGGCGCTGTGGGTTAAACCACAGAGCCTAGGACTTGCCAATCAGAAGGTTGGCGGTTTGAATCCGCGCGACAGGGTGAGCTCCTGTTGCTCATTCCCTGCTCCTGCCATCCTAGCAGTTCAAAAGCACGTCGAAGTGCAAGTAGATAAATAGGTATCGCTCCAGTGGGAAGGTAAACGCCGTTTCCATGCGCTGCTCTGGTTTGCCAGAAGCAGCTTAGTCATGCTGGCCACATGACGCCGGCTCCCTCGGCCAGTAAAGCGAGATGAGCGCCGCAACCCCAGAGTCGGCCACAAATGGACCTAATTGTCAGGGGTCCCTTTACCTTTACAATACCTAAAGAGGCTAAAATTGCCAGGTGACTCCCTTGCTTTTCTCTCACAGCTGCTTCCCTACTGAAAGACCTGACCTTCAGCAACATTTTTTTCAAAGACCTGCTTAACCATTCCCATATTTGCAAAGCTCTCTCTCTCTTTTTTTAACAACCGGAATCAAAATATCACTTGGGGGGAGTTGTGGGGAAAATTGTACTGTCCATCATGGCTGATGTAAGAGGCTTCACCTTAGTGACATGATTCAGAAGGGATTCTGCCTTTAAAAAGATACAAGGAAGCTGGAATATAAAGGAACAGAGTGAATTCCCATTTCTTAAATTCCACTTTAAAACTACCATCCCTCCCACATAATGGAGAGGTTCGACCTGGCTGCCCACTTCCAACACCCAAAGGGTTTTGGGAAATGGATGTTTTGTTTCCAATAAAGCTGTGCCTGGTGAGGTTTTAAATAAATCTGTCTTATGAGGTTATTGCCCTTTATCAATTGTGCAGGCATTTACATTATATAGCAGGTATCACCAGCCTTTTAAAATTAAGCAATGTATTTATTTCATTGAAACTATATACCGCTTGAGTGTGAAAAACCTCAAAGTGGTTTACAAAAAGAGTAAAGCAAAATTAGGAAAAAGTATGAAGACATTTTTAAAAAATGAAAAGCAGCAATAAACTGAATATGCACCAGGATTCTAGGTATCTGGGTAGGTTTGTCTAAAATGAATTTTTTTAAATAGCAGGTATCAAAAGAATAAAGTGAGGGAACTTGCCTGATGTCAGTAGGCAGGGGTTTCTGAAGTGTAGGTGCCACAACACTAAAATACAAGTTTCTTACAATGGGTCCTGGCAAACCCCCCTGGCAGGGGGGAGGGAAAGAGATTTTCAGAGGTGAATATGTTCTTGAACTGCATACCCATTGTATGGATACTGACAACAGGACAACAAAAATAAATTTTATGTGCTCTAAAGGTGGCCAAGAAACTGATACTGATGAATTGGAAGAATAGAGATACGATTCGCCTTAATCAATGGCTTGGTGACATGACAACATTGTCTGTCCTTACGTTGCCAGCTTATAGACGCAAACTTTCTTTGGATAAACACAGTGGTATTTGGAATGAGTTTATACAGAATACATTAGGTTATTGACAATTATATGTGTATTAGAATAATATAAAGGTAAAGGGACCCCTGACCATTAGGTCCAGTCGTGACCGACTCTGGGGTTGCGGCGCTCATCTCACTTTATTGGCCAAGGGAGCCGGCGTACAGCTTCCGGGTCATGTGGCCAGCATGACTAAGCCGCTTCTGGCGAACCAGAGCAGCGCACGGAAACGCCGTTTACCTTCCCGCTGGAACGGTACCTATTTATCTACTTGCACTTTGACGTGCTCTCGAACTGCTAGGTTGGCAGGAGCAGGGACCGAGCAACGGTAGCTCACCCCGTCACGGGGATTCAAACCGCCGACCTTCTGATCAGCAATTCCTAGGCTCTGTGGTTTAACCCACAGCGCCACTCGCGTCCCATTAGAATAATATACACATCTGTATATTAATGCATTCCTGCCAACCTAGCAGTTCGAAAGCACATCAAAGTGCAAGTAGATAAATAGGGACTGCTCCGGCAGGAAGGTAAACGGCGTATCATTGTGCTGCTCTGGTTCGCCAGAAGCGGCTTAGTCATGCTGGCCACCTGACCTGGAAGCTGTACACCGGCTCCCTCGGCCTATAGAGTGAGATGAGTGTGCAACCCCAGAGTCGGTCACGACTGGACCTAATGGTCAGGGGTCCCTTTACCTTTACCTTTATATTAATGCATGGTAATGTAACAGTACTTTTACTTTTCTTTCTCACTTTCTTTTTCTTATCATTCCCCCCTTACTCTTTTTATAAATGAAATTCTCTTAATAAAATGTAATAATAAAATAAAAATAAGCATCTAGTTGGTCACTGTGAGAACAGGATACTGGACTAGATGAGCCTTTGGCCTGATTCAGGAAGTTTTCTTTTCATGTTCTTACAAGGATGCCCACAAATGGCACATTGCCAAATCTCTATGATGTCCACACACACAATTTACCATACACTATCTTAACAGAGATTAAAGGTTTGTTGGAGCCAATGAGGTGTAACCCTTCACACTCAGAGATGGAATTACTTCCAAGTAATCAATATTAATGTACTGGATGGAGGGAAATAGAAGCACAAGGAGGGAGGGAAGGGGAGGGAAGCCGGGAAGCAAATCTGACTCCAGCCTGCCTGATTTATCAGACCCAACCACTTCCATGCAAATGCATCCGCTGGAAACTATTTACTAGGCTGACTGGAGACAAAGCAGAATGTCAAGGGGGGAATTCCTGTTACCGTATTCTCCCCAAGTCAGGATTAATTTGACACTCCACAGCCTGGAAACCAACATACGTAAGAGATTCTCTCTCTAAATTGCTACCGTCTCGCATCATGTTGAAACCCCCAAAATATATTCAAACCTGCCCCTAAATGCCCTAAATGCAAATGGGAAAGAACAATGAAGAATTGCTCTTCCTTAGCAGAATTTGGTACCAAGTCAGATGAGACAATGGATACACAGAGAGATGATGTCCTTCCCTGGTCTCTATTCCAGGTGTGCCCCCACTATCTAGCCACCTCTAAGACGTTTCTAAGCTGCCATTCATAGATATAAACCCTTGACAGCTAACAAGATAAAACAATGCAAAAATACAGCTGAACCAAAGCAGTTAAAATACCATCCATAATTTCCAAAGGTTGAATTTCTAAATATCTAGGAGTCCATGAGGCATACAGGAAAATTCTACCTTGTTTCCAGGGAATCCTTTTTTCCAAATGGATTGGCACTCAGCAGCCTGACTTTACTTTTATAAATAGGTATCTAAAATCCACTATAAATCACTGCTCTCTTCAAATAGGTCACCTCTGAAACTTCTTGCTATTCAGAGAAGTTGGGGCAGGGACAAACTGTCTCTTCACTGCAGAATTTGGTTAAGAGTTGCCCACTCAAATATTTGGTTTTGGATCCAACATTTGCATTTCTCACCCCTCCATACTTTCACACACAAAACCCACCTTTCAATACGCATGTTGAGATTTCCAGACACTGGTTTTCTCCAATTGTCTTCTTGATTGACTGATTGCTCAACCCTTATTGTCCTCTTGATTGTTTGAAAGGCAGACACAATGAATGCTTGTCACTGCCGGCTGCTGGTTTTCTCCAGTTGGATGACTGCGGATTTCATTCAATTGCATATGAAAGGTTGTCACCTTCTTTCGAGCTGCTTTGTTGTTTTGGGCAGATGCAACTGTTGCTCAAAAATAAACCCAGGAATATAGGAGGTAAGACCAGTGATGAGCACCAGAGAATAAAGCTGCATTTCTATATCTGCTTCCTCGGGAGTAAGACCAATTGAACTTGTGGTTCTGAACAGACAAGCATAAAGGTAAAGGTAAATAGACCCCTGACCATTAGGTCCAGACGTCGCCGACTTTGGGGTTGCGGCGCTCATCTCGCTTTATTGGCTGAGGGAGCCGGCATACAGCTTCCGGGTCATGTGGCCAGCATGACTAAGCCGCTTCTGGCGAAACAGAGGAGCACACGGAAACGCCGTTTACCTTCCCGCCGGAGTGGTACCTATTTATCTACTTGCACTTTGACGTGCTTTCAAACTGCTAGGTTGGCAGGAGCAGGGACCGAGCAACGGGAGCTCACCCCGTCGTGGGGATTCGAACCGCCGACCTTCTGATCAGCAAGACCTAGGCTCTGTGGTTTAACCCACAGCGCCACGCGTGTCCCCCAAGACATGCTTAGCATTGCACTAAATAAGGAGAAATAATAAAGAAATAAGGGACACGGGTGGCACTGTGGCTTAAACCACAGAGCCTAGGGCTTGATGATCAGAAAGTCGGCGGTTCGAATCCCTGCAATGGGGTGAGCTCCCGTTGCTCGGTCCCAGCTCCTGCCCACCTAGCAGTTCGAAAGCACATCAAGTGCAAGTAGATAAATAGGTACTGCTCCGGCGGGAAGGTAAACAGTGTTTCCATGCACTGCTCTGGTTTCGCCAGAAGCAGCTTAGTCATGCTGGCCACATGAGCTGTCTGCGGACAAACACCGGCTCCCTCGGCCTATAGAGAGAGATCAGCACGCAACCCCAGAGTCGTCCGCAACTGGACCTAACTGTCAGGGGTACCTTTACCTTTAATGGTATAGGAGTCATCTCATTGGAGAATATCTCGTTGCAAGCTGCTTTTGGATTATCAAGTGTTAAGGAGGGCATATTGAAACTTTTGGGTGAAAGAGACGGTTTTCATCATCTGGGGGTTCAAAATCAACAACAATTTGACTAAACGGATGACATAGCTAGAGCATTTATAGTATTGTTGTGCAATGACGACAGACTGAATGAGTTCCAAGATCTTTGCAAGAACCACTCTTGTTATCTAGCATATTTAGCAAAGTCTCTGGTTAGAAGGTTAATTGGGAAACATCTGATATCTTAGCATTAAATATGAACAGACGGGTGAAGGTCAAGTGGGGAAATCTTGGAAATCTCAGGTTATTAATCATGCAAGAATATGTTTGACTTGTCTTCCAAATACCTGTAGTGGTGGGTGAACTTCTTCCTGCACTTCAGAATGGGATTAGGTAAAATTATTCATCCCCACACCAAAGGAAAACCATCATTTTTATTCTGAGGCCATTATGAAGCTCATTCCTGTCATAGACCACATGATATTGTAGGAGTGCCATAAAAACCAAGCACAAACACCACATCACCCTGAAATGAGAACTCATATTGAGGTTGCAATGGACATGCATCTTGTACAATGGGAAGGACTTGCAATGGGACCTCTGTTGTGTCCCAGAATGCTACAAAGCAGTATATTGTTTCCTACCTGGGGTCCTCCCCATGATCCCTCAGCTCTGTCGCTTGCCCTCTCCCTGCCGCTGAACCCTTCCTCGACCACCTGCTCTTCCCCTCCTCATCTTCAGCCTCCTGCTCATGAGACGTTGTGTCTCCAGACGCTGCGAGCCCTAGAGCGGCCCTGGGAAGATCACCCCAGCCCTCGCCAAGTCAGTAGATGCAGCATGGCCTGGCATCCTGGATTGAGTTCAGGAGCCAGGGCAGCTTCTATAAATTTGGGATGTCTCGATTAAATCAGGACACTTGAGGGATCTGTTGTTGACCAGGATTCTTGGGAAATCAGCCTGCAGAGGGTACTGGAGCCGCCAAAATGAGAAGTCTTTCAGTCCATGGGCTGGAGATTCCCATCTCTACCTTTATTCATAGAATCATAGAGTTGGAAGAGACCACAAGGGCCATCGAGTCCAACCCCCTGCCAAGCAGGAAACACCATCAGAGCACTCCCGACATATGGCTGTCAAGCCTCTGCTTAAACACCTCCGAAGAAGGAGACTCCACCACACTCCTTGGCAGCAAATTCCACTGTCAAACAGCTCTTACTGTCAGGAAGTTCTTCCTAATGTTTAGGTGGAATCTTCTTTCTTGTAGTTTGGATCCATTGCTCCATGTCCGCTTCTCTGGAGCAGCAGAAAACAACCTTTCTCCCTCCTCTATGTGACATCCTTTTATATATTTGAACATGGCTATCATATCACCCCTTAACCTCCTCTTCTCCAGGCTAAACATGCCCAGCTCCCTTAGCCGTTCCTCATAAGGCATTGTTTCCAGGCCTTTGACCATTTTGGTTGCCCTCCGCTGGACACGTTCCAGTTTGTCAGTGTCCTTCTTGAACTGTGGTGCCCAGAACTGGACACAGTACTCCAGGTGAGGTCTGACCAGAGCAGAATACAGTGGCACTATTACTTCCCTTGATCTAGATGCTATACTCCTATTGATGCAGGCCCAGAATTGCATTGGCTTTTGAGCTGCCGCGTCACACTGTTGGCTCATGTCAAGTTTGTGGTCAACCAAGACTCCTAGATCCTTTTCACATGTACTGCTCTCAAGCCAGGTGTCACCCATCTTGTATTTGTGCCTCTCATTTTTTTTTGCCCAAGTGCAATACCTTACATTTCTCCCTGTTAAAATTCATCTTGTTTGTTTTGGCCCAGTTCTCTAATCTGTCAAGGTCGTTTTGAAGTGTGATTCTGTCCTCTGGGGTGTTAGCCACCCCTCCCAGTTTGGTGTCATCTGCAAATTTGATCAGGATGCCCATGTGAGATAAACCGATGCTACATTTCCCCAGGTACCCAGGACACCGCTGTGTTAATGTAACAGAGTAACACTGAAGACTTGTCAAGAATCTTCCTCTTCCCCTCTTGCAGGTAGATGCGTGTAGGAAAGGAAGGAAGGAGGGATGTTAGCCTCAGGGAGTCCTGGTAATATTCTGAATTGGTCCCTAACTTCCAAGGAGTTTGAACCAAATTCAAAATGGGATACGGTGCTTTTAAACTAGGAGGGCATTTTACAACTACCCCCTTCTCTTCAAATTTCAAATATACCTTTGTTGTTTGCTGTGACTCTTCTGACATATACAGTGGACACTCAGGTTGTGAATGTGATCCGTGCGGGAGGCATGTTCGCAACCCACAGCACCGCATCTGCGCACGCGTGGGTTGTGATTTGGCGCTTCTGCACATGTGTGACCACCGAAACCCGGAAGTAATTCGTTCCAGTACTTCCTGGTTTCTGTGCATCCGTAACCTGGAAAAATGCAACCTGAAGCGTCTGCAACCCGAGGTATGACTGTACTGCTAATGCAAACTGAGAATGTAACAGCAGCATCTCAACACATTTCTCTGGACTAGTGCCACAGCCCTGTCAGAGTCCTGTTGCCGAGCAAACAGGGGCTAAGAAGCGCCAAGGAACACTTACCTGAGAGCAGGCTCCACATCCGAAGGCAGGAAATCCAGATGATCACAGAGCAAAAGGGCCAGATCGAGAGCAGCAAGATAGGACCAGGAACCGCAGGCATTTTTTCCAGCATCTGACTGCTGACTCTGTTTAAGAAGCCAGAGCCAGCTGGTTCTCATCAGTGTCTTCTTCTGTCCCTGAAGGCTGATCATCTGCAGGTGGAGTCCTTCTGCCTTCTCCCCCTTCAGGCAGCTGTTCAGCCGGTGAAGCTGACTCCTGGCCCATGACAGCTAGGAAAAGGGGTTGCAAGACTGTAGCTGTGATCATAAACATCCCTACAAAGAATAAGCTCCAGTGGGAATGTCTTCAGCATTATTATGGGATGGGGAACCTGTCCTGCTCTGCCACAGCTGACATCTCCCTTATCTGGCAGTGGATGGGGTGGGGCTGCTGCCTGAGGCAGCTGCTTCACCCCGCCTTATGGGTGGGCAGGAACTGTATATAATACGAGGTGTGTGTTCATACACCCTGACTTGGGGTTTTTAAAAAATAAAATAAAATGAGTGGCATAGTGGAAATAATCCCTCTGCTGTGTTTTAATCACCATCAACAGATGCACAGGTAAACATCTCAACACATATTCTTGAATGTCATTTTCTTCCATGCTCATCAAAGAAGCTAACATGTTTATAGGGCACTGCTAAGGTGACCGCTAATCCCATTATCATTCCTGCTGCCCTCACAAACCTGCTTGCTAAAAAACTCTGATAATTTAGATAATCCCCTTAACAGCAGCTTTGAAGAAGCAGTGATTAGCTCACTTGCTAAACCAGATGTACACAGCCTACAGCAATATACAAAGAGTTAGGTGAAGAAACAGTTGCCTCTTCCAAATACTCGAGATCAGGTATGAAGAGCACCTGGCCTTCTAGTTGTTGCTGAACTACAACTCCCATCACCCCTGGCCATTGGCCACGCTTGCTGGGTTGATGGGAGTTGCAGTCCAATGACATCTGGAAAGCCAAAAATTCACTACACCTGTGTTAGAACATCTCTGACCTACTATCCTGAGCATATATTCCTTTGGCCTTCACTTCTTCTGCTCTACCATTCTCGGCCACCCAAAGTTCTCCTGATCACTTGAATGACTCCACCCATTATCCACTCTTCCATTCTTATGCATGGTCCACCCTAGAACATCACTCAAAATCCATATCCCACCACAAAACCCACATTTTCCATGAAGCTTTTGGCTGAACTTCTTAGGGTGCTTCTGGACAAATGTCTATTATGGGATGCATGTTCCTCATGCATGTAAGCTTCTTGCAGCATGAAGATGGCATTGTTGTCATCAAAATACCCTGTGCCCCCTTGTCAGTAGACTCCTCCTAGACCAGTGTGACAAGGGAGGTGTCTCCTTCTGGGAAGAGAGCTACTCCGAGTATCTGACAGTGTGAAGGCAGACATGTCAGGGAGTGTCTCTGCCAAGCTAGGAAAGCCTGGATAGCAAAGGGGGGGGGGCAGAGAGAAGGGTCGAGCTTGCAGCTCCCATCATGGGGATGGATGAGGCAAGAGAACAAGCTGAGGAAGCCTGCCCCCCAAAATCATTGATAGCAAATTTCCCCCACTTGTGGCCCCTTCTTGGGTCCTTAACCTTCCATCTGCATTGTCCTGGCACAGCCAGTCCATGGCCTGCATCCCTAAGCCCACACCCAGCACTGTATTCCACGTGTGGCTTGCATGTATTCAATCTGGCCAGGGCAAAAACAGGACAACACAGAGGCCAGGAGCAACTGCCTCAACTGCCTCCTCACAATCATCATAATTGTAATATAAGAATAGTAACAGATGGGGCCAGGCCTCTTTGAAACAGCGCATATTAAGCCTATTGGTAGGCTTTGGTCCACCCACACTCAGTGCCACAAGGCTATTTTCCAGTATCAATAGATACTGGATATGCTTCAAATATTGTGAATTTGAAGGCTCTTCATGCAGGAAAACATGAGCATAAATTGCCCCATAGTGTACACAACTACAGATTGCAGAACTCCCTTCAGACATTTTGTAAGTCCAGCTGAAAAGCGGGTATTGATTTCTGTTGTTATTGTGTCTGTTTTTTGGTTCTCTCAAAATCCCTCCAATATTTTGGCCCAGAAAAAACTGGCACAGCAACCTCCACACTTGTTCCAAGTGCAGTTGAGCCCATACCACAAGCTATGCTCATTGTCAAGGGGGGGGGGTCATTGCAGCACAGCCATTGTCATGGTCCAGTTCATGGGTGATCGAAGTCCCGGCTGGGGATGTCGGGACCAGGGCAAGATGGCAGGGTGGGAGCAGTAACGGGAGTCCAGAAGCCAGGAGTCAGAAAGCCAAAAGTCTGAGGGTCAGGAAGCAAGGAGTCACGAAGTATGGGGTCTGAGGGTCAAGAAGCAAGGGGTCACGAAGTCAAGGGTCCAAGGATCAAGAAGCAAGGAGTCACAAAGTCAAGGGTCCAAGGATCAAGAAGCAAGGAATCACGAAGTCAGGGGTCTGAGGACCAAGAAGCAAGGAATCACGAAGTCAGGGGTCTGAGGATCAAGAAGCAAGGAGTCACGAAGTCAGGGATCCGAAGGATCAAGAAGCAGGGAGTCACAAAGTCAGGGATCCGAGGATCAAGAAGCAGGGAGTCACTAAGTCAGGGGTTTGAGGATCAAGAAGCAGGGAGTCACGAAGTCAGGGGTCCGAGGACCAAGAAGCAAGGAGTCACGAAGTCAGGGATCCGAGGATCAAGAAGCAAGGAGTCACGAAGTCAGGGGTCTGAGGATCAAGAAGCAAGGAGTCAAGGAGTCAAAAGCAGCAAGGCAGGGAACGTGTTGCTGTGGCAAAGAGCCGAAGGGAAAATGCTGACCTTATATCCCTTCCCGGCTCTTGCCACCAGGTGCTGTGAGTTACCAATCGGCCTCACCTGTGTGGCCGTGCCTTGCCTCTCCAGAACAAACTTAGGAAGGCCCCAGTCCTGCAGAGTCCTATTGGTCACAGGGCCTGGCTCCTGCACACACACCTGACAGCCATGAACCGAAGGCAACATCAAGAGCCGCAAGCTACCTGACAAAAGTTTGCCCTCCTGCTCTCCCCCACAGCAGAGTTTACTTCTTCCTTCTGGAAAACTTACATAGTGCTGCCACAGACAGGAACCACAGCATGGGATTCTCTGCCATGAGTCACAGAATCATAGAATTGTAGAGTTGGAAGGGACTCCAAGGGTCATCAAGTCCAACCCCTGGTGATGAAGGAATCTCAACTAAAGTATCCATGACAGATGGCCACCCAACCTCTGCTTGGAAACTTTCAAGGAAGGGAGTCCATGACCTCTTGAGGGAGTCTATTCTCCTGATCTGGAGGGTAGGAATTGAATCAATGGATCAGAGTTACAAGAAAGGAGATTCCAACGAAACATCAGGAAGAACTTTCTGACAGTAAGAGCTGTTTGAGAGTGGAACAGACTCCCCCGAGAGGTTGTGGACCAGAGGAGCTCGTCCTACTCTCGAGTAGGACCCTGGCAGAGACACATGCCCGACTGGCATGTTCCTTCCCTCCTGGTCGATCGTTCGGGAGCTTCAAAAGCTTTCTTCAGCCCGAACATCACAGCGACTGATGCCAACAGACACCAGCACACTTAGGGATCCGCAGAGTCTTTGCAGCTTGCGTAACAGACCTCAGCAACTCAGCATTTTGGCTAATCTACTTTATTTACATATAAACACACACGGAACACCGCAACATGGCTCCCTCTCTCTCTAGCATCAGACAGCAAAGAGAAAAAGAACAAAGGACAATAGTCACACTTCATGGAACACAGTAACACAAACATCCTGTCTCCGTCACTTCCCACTCTTTGGAGTCAAAACATACACCATCATGTGATAGACAAAAACCCCATGACTGCAATCATGGAGCAGGAATTCTAACAGTTCTGTCTTGTGCCCAAGATTGAGGAGGCCCATTGCACATGGTGCATGCGTGACGTCCTGTGTGTGTGACATCGCATTGTTGGGAGGCGGCCAAGCACAGAGCCCACCCCATTTTGGCTTCCTCTCTTGTTCTCAGGAGGAACCAACCACTGAACTGTGGCATGCTTGGCTGTGCGCTTGGCCTCCTCCATGCCGTCATCATGGAGGGGGCAAAAGATACCTCCAGCCTTAGGAGCCGGGACACCTGCTAGACACCCTGGCTCTTACAGTGCGAAGAAGAAGCAGAAGCAGGAGAACGAAAGGTCGCTGGACTGGATCGAAACAGCCACAAACAAGCACACCAAAAGCAAAATGTTTATTCCATTATTATTACAATCATGATTCGGAGGGGGCTGTCTAAAAGCCCTGCTTTTGAAGCTAGTGTCCAACGGAGAGACTACCCACAGAGTTCTGTTCTGCATTTTCGGCAGATGAGATCAAGTTTGGACTCCTGATTCCCTTAGCCGGAGATAACCGTTAGCTGAATGGAACGGCGACACTGCAGGCTATTGCAAGCCCAGTGCCGCATGGCCCCGTGATCAGAGGGGTCTCAACTGGCATTTCTGCCCTGTGCCCTCGCCCCAGCTCCTCGCGTCCCCCTTGTTTGCTGGCTGCATTATTCCATCTCTGTATCTTATCATTCCACACTCCTGCTCGCCCGCTGAATTATTAATATTGTTTTTATGCTAAATGTCTTTGCTTCACACATAATTTGACCTTACTTACTGTGCAGTTAACTGTGCCGGCCCCTCAAGACGTATTACTCATGCAGTTCTTTGCACAGCACACTTCTTTGTGCGGCTCGGCTTAGCAGACTCACCAGGTTCTTTGCACAGAGTCGTATGCATGCTTTGTGATTAGTCGGATGGAATGATTGCCTCCTCGTTCATTAGGCCATCGGAAATTAAAAACGAAATGCAAAAGGAGCATGAATGATAATGCACTAAGTTGGTGGGCTTGGGAAGATGTCACCTGAATCTGGTCTCTTGCTCCTCCTCAACTCCTGATGCAATTCCGAAGCAGAATTGTGTGGGGGTTTTGGGGGGGGAGGGGGGAAATTACTTAAGTTTAACAGGATGCATGGGTAAAATGCTGCACTGGGGCTGCATATCTGCATGGATTCTTTTGGACGTATCACAAGGGCCATTTATGTGTTTTGCTGTACACATACTTGTTGCATTTATTATGTGGCACCTTCTTCTCCAAGGAGTTCAAGGTGGTTCCCCCCTCATTTAATCCCCATGATGATCCTGTGAGCAGTGGCAGACCTTGGTAATATGGTACCCTGTGCAAAGCCAAAAGTTGATGCCTCCCCCAGCTCAAAGCTGCTTTCCAGTGTGGTGCAGTGGACTCGTAATCTGGTGAACCAGGTTCGCTTCCCCGCTCCTCCACATGCAGCTGCTGGGTGACCTTGGGCTAGTCACACTTCTCTGAAGTCTCTCAGCCCCATTCACCTCACAGAGTGTTTGTTGTGGGGGAGGAAGGGAAAGGAGAATGTTAGCCGCTTTGAGACTCCTTCGGGTAGTGATAAAGCAGGATATCAAATCCAAATTCTTCTTCTTCTTCTTATCTCAGATCAGACTCAAGTTCAATATTGTCTATAGCACAGCATTGGTGGTTCAGAGAAGTTGTCTTTAGCCTGCATCAGTAGTAGGCGTATAGCAGTCTAGGTGAGGGTAGCTGATGGGTCTCAAACCCTCCGTGAGTTAGAGACTCTTCCCCTGCATGTGAAGACAGGCTCTGGTAGAAGAAGAAGAAGAAGAAGAAGAAGAAGAAGAAGAAGAAGAATAGGAGTTTGGATTTGATATCCTGCTTTATCACTACCCAAAGGAGTCTCAAAGCAGCTAACAATCTCCTTTCCCTTCCTCCCCCACAACAAGCACTCTGTGAGGTGAGAGAGGCTGAGAGACTCCAAAGAAGTGTGACTAGCCCAAGGTCACCCAGCAGCTGCAGGTGGAGGAGCAGAGACGCGAACCCTGTTCACCAGATTACGAGTCTTATCCACTACACCACACTGGCTCACTACACTACACCACAGTTGCCTCCTCTCCTTCCAGCAACTCCTGCAGCTAAGCTGGTGCCAAAGCTATTGCTTTGCTTTCCTTTGGACAACATCAGTGAGGCTGAGAGGTGGGGTCTTGTCATCTAGGCAGTCCAGGACCTCCATGCACATTCCTAGGCTTGCACCATCAGGAGGTCACTTCAGTGCTGCTAATAAAGCAGTTTGACTTCACTCCTGGAGGCATGCTTCACTGTCTCTCAAGACAGATGGGTGCTAACTATGGTACACAGACAGGAAGCAGGATTTCAGACCAGTGGCCTTTCACAGCCCAACCTGGAGAAACCAGAGATTGAACCTGGAACCTTCTGCACTCAAAACAGATGCTCTGTCCCTGAGCTACGTCCCTTCTCCTATCAATAATATTTTGTATAGCTGGTGAGGAGGAAGAGTCAATCAAAGTGGAGAGGCCTGGGCTAGATGAATCAATGGCTTGACCCAAGGAGGCTACCAGAAATATGTACAGTGGAACCTTGATTCTTGAATGGCTTAGTTGTCGAACAAATTGGCTCCCGAATGCCGAAAACCCGGAAATAAGTGTTCTGGTTTTCTAATGTTTTTCAGAAGCGGCTTCCGCTTGAGTGCAGAAAGCTCCTGCAGCCAATTGGAAGCTGTGCCTTGGTTTTCGAACCGTTTCAGGAATCGAACAGACTTCTGGAATGGATTATGTTCGAGAACCAAGGTTCCACTGTATCAGACGAGGTTTGCAGAATCCCACCCAAGAAGTCTGGCTGGCTGGCACATAATAAAATGAAATCTCAGTACCCATCATCAACTTCAGACACCCCTTAGTTAGGGGGGAGAGAAAAAAAACCCTATTACAACCTTTCTGGCTGGCCAGTTTTCTAAAGCAATCAGGATTTGTTTAAACTATGTTATCTAGTCCCAACACTCATTTTACACAGCTTTTTCATGAAGGCTGCATGCGGTGCCCTTATCAGAATGGAATTCATTGCAGGGAATATAATAGACTTTATCCTAATGGCCACCTTTAGTGAAGTTTTGAATGTCTTAAATCTCAGCAAATTAAATCGCCCCCCCCCCCCACAACACACGCCCCACTCCAAAATCTCAGTCAACAAAGAGAGCTAAACATAAGGGAAGTGATTATCATCACAAGCTGAAAAATGCTCTCTTATTGAAACAAACAGAGGGAATATATTCAGCTCAATTAATTTTTAAATATCAGCTCTCTGTCAGCTGAGCACCAAGTTAAGGATGCTGGAATGTTGCTCCCCTCCAACCTTTCCCCAAAATGTCAGGTAGATTGCGTGTGTTTACGTGCGTGTATTGCAGTGTTTATAAAAAATAAAAGATGTATTAAAACAAGATCACCATCCACATTCAGCAAAAACAATTCCCTCTATCAGAACGTGTTGCAAAACCCAAAGTAGTGTTTACATTGGGGAGAATGGGGGACAGTTAGCAGGTTGGATCCGGACTTGCCCTTCTTTGAATGGGGGTAGAGATTTTGATCAATGTCCCCTACCCCAAACCACCTCCCACACTACTCCAGATGCTTCCTCAACCCTCTAGAGCAGTGATGGCCAAACCTGGCTCTCCAGCTGTTTTGGGACTACAGTTCCCATCATCCCTGACCTCTGGTCCTGTTAGATAGGAATGATGGGAGTTGTAGTCCCAAAACAGCTGGAGGGCCACGTTTAGCCACCACTGCTCTAGAGAATATTTCTGGAAGGTACAAAGGGCTGCTTGTGGAAGGCTGGATTACCAAAATTGCCTCCTCCTTTCCATGGGCGTGTTTCATGGTGTTGTAGCTCTGAGTCTCATTGCCAAGCAAGCAGGGGCTAGGGATCTCCAATGAACTCTTACCAGAGAGCAGAATCCATATACAGTCCAAAGGTCAGGGATTCTAGATGGTCACAGAGCCAAGGGTTCAGATGGAACACAGGAAACACCAAGGGTCTGAAACGACACAGATTGTTTCCAGCATCTAACTGCTGCTGAGAGCTCTGTTTAAGAAGGCTGTGTCAGTGTTTGTAAAAAGCAAAAAAAAGAAGGAAAGGGTTCTGACCTCCCTTTGTCTCCTCAGCCTGGTCCTCAGACCCTTGTCGGCACAAAAAGAGTCCACGAGAATATCCTTGCAGAGTTTTATTCTTAAAAGTCTTTGTGCAAAACACGACTGAATAACTATACACACCAGCACCAACCAACCAACCCAAACACCAGCCTCAGCACAAACTAACATTTCTCACTTTATATATACAACCTGCTGCAGGCCGCTGAGTCATGCTGACCCAGCTTTATTCGCATTAAAGAAACAGCGGCCATTTTAGCCGTGACACCCCTTCTGTTTCTTAAATGCGAAAAACCCCAACAGAAACAATACATACATACATTATATACATAAACCCAGTTTTGTCATCAATTCATTATGGCATGTTGCTGGCAAAGGCTTGGTAAACAAATCAGCAATATTATCTTGTGATTGACAATACTCCAGTTTGATTACCCCATTCTGTACACAATCTCTAACATTCGCATGACGGATAGCAATATGTTTTGATGCGGATTTCATTATTTCCGAGCCCGCTAATGCAATGCACGATTGGCTATCTTCATACACTTGGATAGGCAAATCTACTTTACAATCTAGATCTTTTAGTATCTGTATAAACCACAAGATTTCATTGCATGCTAGTGACAGGCTCCCATATTCTGCCTCACAGGATGAGGTCACAACAAATCCTTGTTTCTTTGACCTCCATCCAATTATGAAATTGGCAAACATCATAACCATTCCACTTGTAGATTTTCTGGTAGCTACACAGCTTCCCCAGTCCGCATCAACAAATACTTCTAGTTTTTCGTCTTGTGTACTAGATATCTTCAAACATACATTTAATGTCCCCTTTAGATATCTGATAAGCCTTTTCAAAGCACACCAATCGGCAGTACTGGGTTTAGATACACGTTGGCTCAGAACATTTGTAGCACATGCAATGTCTGGCCTTGACCACTGGCTTAAATACAACAGTGATCCTATTTTTGAGTGATACAACTCAGGCTGATCAAATTCATCATCACACACTGTCTTTGGGAAATCTGGTGTCATGGGAGTCTGAACTGGCTTGCAGTTTTCCATGCCAAACTGCTCTATCAAATGAATAATTTTCTCTTTCTGGCTCAATAGGAAGCTTCCATCAGCTTCCTGCCTTACTTCTACTCCCAAGTAATTGCTTACAGGCCCCAAGGCTTTAAGCTTAAACCTCTTTTCCAGTTGACTTGTGAGCTTCTGGATCTCATCTGTGGAACTCCCTGCCACAAGCAAATCATCAACAAAGACTAAGAGCATTAGATATTTGTTGCCTGTCCCCTTGGTGTACAGGCATGGATCAGCCACACTCCTTTTAAAACCAAGTTTTACAAGGGCTTCATTTAAACACTGGTTCCAACACCTTCCACTTTGTTTGAGACTGTAAACAGCCTTTCTCAAACGCCAGACTGCACCATTCCCCTCTTCAAACCCAGGAGGTTGTCTCATTAACACTTCATGGTCTAAATTTGCATGCAGATATGCAGCATCAACATCAAAATGGTGCACTGCTAGTTGTCTTACAGCAGCAATGGAAAGCATTAAACGAAAAGTTTCACTCTTTACAGTGGGAGAAAACACTTCATCATAACTCTCCCCTTTAATTTGAGTGAACCCTCTGGCTACTAATCTGGCTCAAAAACGTGGTTCCCCAGATGCAAGGGTTTTCCTTTTGTAAACCCACTTGCATGACACCACTCTGCCACCAGGTGGCGGCATTATGACCTCAAACACTTTGTTACGTTTAAAAGAGTCCATTTCTTCTTTCATAGCTGGTTCCCACAAAGCACGTTCCCCAGGGGGTAAGTCTAAGACTTCATTATAACTTTGTGGTTCCACACAACTCACATTGCATACTCTTACTCCTCCTAGGGTCAAACGTTGAGGAGGTACACCCTTGTTTGAACGCTGGGAGCGCCTAGGCACAACTACTTCTTCTTCCCCCCTTATTTCTGGCTCTTCTTCCTCTTCCTCTAGAGAATAAGTATTATCTATTGCCACATCTTTTGGGGAAATCTGTGCCTCTTCCTCATCCTGCTCCTGTGTTGCCAATGGCTGAGAAGAAGCCTCTTCTCTTACTTGCAGGGGCAGTAGGCAATCAGGGTTGGCATGGATCACAGTCCATCTGTCCTGGTCAGCAAAGTCTGCACTTTGTGACAGAACCACGCGTCCTGGGCGTAAATTGAAACACCACCCTTTGCCATAGGACTGATATCCCACAAACCGCAGTTTCTGCGCTCTAGCGCCCCCTTTCTGGCGCTGAGCTTTGGGGATATTTACATGTGCCCAAGCACCCCAATTATGGAGCATTGTCCACTCTGGTTCTTTTCCAAACAAAAAACGATAAGGAATATCTTTTATAGAGCTAGACCAGGTTCTATTAATCAAAAAGTTCGCTGTAAGAAGAGCCTCGCCCCACAGCCTATGGTTGTGACCCAATCCTGCATCCACTAGCAGGCAGTCCTTTACTGACTGTATTACAGCCCCACGTCTTTCACACAGACCATTTTCAGCAGGGCTATAAGGGTTAGTCAAGCGATGAGTGATCCCCTTATGTTGCAACCATGTCCCAAATTGTTTGTTCAGAAATTCTCCGCCCCTATCTGTTTGCAACTGCACAACAGGGCGAGCGAAGAGCTTTTCAGCTTGGGCAACCCATTCTCTGAATGTGGGGAAACACTCAGATTTCTGCTTTAACAAAAACAACCAACTGAAACGTGATTTATTATCTATTACCAGAAAAGCATATCTGGCGCCCCCTTCAGTCTTCTGTGGGAAAGGACCTATCACATCACAATGGACAAGTTCTAAAACCTCTTTAGATACTCTGTCACTTTTAGAAGCCACAGGCTTCCTCTTAGATTTGGCCATTTTACATACATTGCAATCTAGGAAACAGTTACAGCTATTTACTTTTAGGTTCTTGCACACCTTTTGCATCTCTGAAAGCACACGGAAATTGGCGTGACCCAGTTTTCTGTGCAATTCATGTACACACCCCTGATGAACTGGCAAATTATCCTGAACCACCTGGGCTGCTTTAACAGGCTTGTCCTGCATTACATATAACCCATTCTCCATCTTTGCATGGCCACATACCTGAGTTCCATTCTTTATCAGACAGCCATCCTGCGTGAACTTAACACTATACCCTGCATTAATCAAACAGCTTACAGACAGTAAACAATAGTCCAAACTGCTGACAAACAGAGTCTCTGGTAGAGTAGCGTTCAAGCACTGCAGGAAACATGTTCCCTGGCCATCAATCTTGCTTCTACGACCATCAGCAAGATAATCTATCAGCTTTTCTTTTCCATCAGCTGGCTTCCCCAGGGACTTAAAGTCCTCCCGACTATTGCAGATAATCCTGCTGCTGCCAGAGTCCAGCAACCATGTTCCTCGAGGTATCTTCCTCTCCTCCCGAGAAAATGCAGACACAAAATGAGCAGAATGTGTGTTTTCCTTCTCTGAAGAAAACCCCTTCTGCTTACGTTTCTGCGTCGATTGCTGTCTCTGCTCCACGTAGTCTCCTGGAAGTCTTGCCCTGCATTGACGTTGGAGATGCCCGGGTTGGTTGCATCTATAGCATCTCCTCACCGCCATGGCCAAGTCCAAGCCTTGGCGTTGCTCCATTGGCAGATTCTGCTGCTACCCCCTCGGCTGTAACTCCTCCGTTCTTGGAGTTCAGCCTGTCTATCTGACCTTCTTTCTGCTTCTTTTGTCAATCTTCCAACCACATACTCAAGGGTCAGATCTCGGGGACACATACTCTCCATGCTGTTAATCACAGGCAACCAGCTTTCAGGCAAACTTGAAAGGATAATGCATGTTTGGTCAGTTTCATCATAACGCTTACCTCTCTGCTGTAGTTGAAGAAACAGAGATTTCAGCGTTTGAAGATGAGTTGCCAAACTCTCACCTTCTTTCATAACAGTCCTGAACAGCCTTCTGGTCAGAGAAATTATAGTTCCAGCAGTTTCTCTGACATGCACTGCCCTTAATAAATTCCAGCACTCAAACGCTGTGCTGGCATTTGCTACATGCAATAACTGAGAGTTGCTCAAACACAGCATAATTTGGGCACGGGCCCTTTCATCCAGCCGTTTTTTCTCAGCAGAGTCCCGTCTCAAAACCTCAGTTTCAACACAGTCCCATAGTCCATCTCTCCTTAACAACTGCTGCATTTTAATTGACCAACTCAGCCAATTGCTTTCTGAGAGAAGTTCATAAGGGATTCCTCCCCCAATATTTACAACTTGGGAAGACTGGAAATCTGCCATCTCTGCTGGTGCTTGCTGAGCCCCTTCTGTGGGGTCTCCAGCAATCTCTCCGGACTCTCTCTTTAGAGTCCAACTGGATGGTCCTGGCTGGCACTCACCGGCTTCTAGCTGCTGCCTCTGTTGACCCTCAGGTCCCGCCTGGCTCTGCAACTGGTGTAGCCGCTATGTGAGTCGCCTACTGTGGTCCTCCAGCAGTTCAAACTGTTCCAGTAGCCGACGCTGAGTGCTTTCCTGATCCTCAGATCCTAGCCGCTCCAGCGTCCCTGCAGACAGTTACAGCTTGCCACCAACTGCTCCAACGCACAGCCACTGGCTCCAGGCACCACCAGGACTCACCGGCTCCCTGCTGAGATGCTGTCAGTCATTTTGCACTCTGCACATGCTCAGAAACACTGGGCCCATAACCTGTCAGTGTTTGTAAAAAGCAAAAAAAAAGAAGGAAAGGGTTCTGACCTCCCTTTGTCTCCTCAGCCTGGTCCTCGGACCCTTGTCGGCACAAAAGAGTCCACGAGAATATCCTTGCAGAGTTTTATTCTTAAAAGTCTTTGTGCAAAACACGACTGAATAACTATACACACCAGCACCAACCAACCCAAACACCAGCCTCAGCACAAACTAACATTTCTCACTTTATATATACAACCTGCTGCAGGCCGCTGAGTCATGCTGACCCAGCTTTATTCGCATTAAAGAAACAGCGGCCATTTTAGCCGTGACAGGCTGAAGCCAGCTGGTTCTCCTCAGTGCCTTCTCCTCTGTGAAGGCTGATCAGCTGCAGGTGGAGTCCTTCCGCCTCCTCTACCTTCTGCCTGCTGTTCAGCAGGCAAAGCTGACTCCAGAGCCACCCCATAAAACAGTGGTGGCCAAACTTGGCCCTCCAGCTGTTTTTGGACTACAACTCCCATCATCCCTAGCTAATAGGACCAGTGGCCAGGGCTGATGGGAATTGTAGTCCCAAAACAGCTTGAAGACCAAGTTTGGTTACCACTGACATAGAAGGTATCTTTTCACTAGGGTTTCCAAAGGGTCACTAGTCATTTTGTCCAGAAATTTCCCCAGACTATTCAGGAATGAACTGGACTCGGTAAGTCTGCTGGGGCAGACCACCTTAATGGATCCTCTACTACCCCTGAATTTGGGGGGGGGGGGGCAATCATTAGTCCAAACCTCACTCAGTTTGTCTGACCATGGCACAGCCACTTCTAAACCACTTGTCAAGGCTGCCTCAGGTCTCAGCTCACAAAAGACCAACGCCAATCTCTTCTTATATACAAAAGTGTTTATTGCAGTTCATTGTTTGCTTCATATCCGAGGCGCGCAGCCTCACGTCTGTACGCTTAGACCGTTGAAGTCCCCTCTGAGTCAGTCCCTCCCCTGCACCAGTTTAAGAGCCTTGCGCTGCTCCACCTCTTTCTCTCTTTCCTTTTCCTCAGGGTCTTCCTGCCCGCTGGGGTTTCGCCCTCCTGGATTCCCCTGACGCGCTATCCCCGACTGCTCTTCCCCCTCCTGCGGGCTTTAGGACCTGGCTCTTCCTCCGGGCTCCCTGTACTTCCGCGCGCCTCTACATTTGAACTTGCGCGCGCGCCCAACTCTAACTTTCCTTTTGACAGTTACACTACACCCTTCACTACTCCCCTCCCCATCCGGGAGGGTGAGGCTTGCACCGACCACCCACCCGTCTCTGCAGCCGCCGCTGCGTACCCTGATACACAGGAACCACCACCCCCATCGCGGCACACAGGCGGGGAGGCTGGTCCAGACGCCCAGCTGCCCCGTTGGGATCCCCGCTGGCCCCCTGTTCCTGACACGTCCCCCTGGGGCTCCCTGGCCTTGACCACTGGCGCCCCCTTCTGGGAATCCTCTGATTCGCTGGAAAGACTCATGGAATCCCTTGAGTCATTGTCATCCTCTTCCTCGCTGTCCTGGGATTCATCCCCATCGCTCTCCATCTCCTCCCTACCCTGTGCCTCTGTCCCTGAACCCCTGACA